ATCTGATTCGAAACCGTAGGATGTCCTTTATCTACCGACAGTATCATTAAATCCCAACAAGTATTAATTTTATATTATACTACCAACCTTCTTATTTACCTCTGTAGGATCGTCTGGTACAAAAACTGACAGTAACGTAGCATGAGTTCAAACAATAACCATCCACATCTTATTTCTTTATTGGTGAGCTTTTGTATTTCATCTTATCTTATTTAGGCAGGCTCAACTGCTGGACTTTCTGTCGATCTTGCACTTTTTCCTATCGATACAATCAAAACTCGTTTACAAAGTTACCATAATAGTGTTCAGAGAACTGGTTCCCTCCGTCTTTTCGCTGGTTTGCCAGCAGTTGCTATAGGTTCTGCTCCTGCAGGTAACTTGGAATTGGAACAACTTTCTGTAAACTTTATGAAGCCGCAGCATTTTTCTTAACCTATGAGGCAGTAAAAGATGCATGTAATGATATCGGTATGCATCCGATAAGTCATTCAGTCCTATCTGCTTGTATTGCTGAAATTGTAAGTTTTTAATTTTAATTTTTAGTCTCCAGGTTGCTTGTCTTATAAGAGTACCCTGCGAAGTAGTTAAACAAAGGTCCCAAAATCAGCCTTCTTATGGTGCTTCAGCTGTGTTTCTAAAGACTTTACGAAATGAGGTTAGTTATTGGGCATTCTGATTAAATCAACCCACTTGTGGTTCATATCGGTAAAATTGGTCGCATGCTTATTACATATGGTTTTGTATCTGATTATGTCCCAGTATTTGTTGTACTCAACTTTCTAACCACTGACTAAATTATTTCTCTATATTACGCTTTTTGTGGATTTATCATCTAAAATCAGTATATAAACCTAAAACACAATTTCATTTCGCATATTAGACGCTCTATTTGTTGGATTATATTTCAAGTTCTATGCTGAGATTAAGAAGTGGTGGTTATTCTACTGAAGGTTGGCGGAACCAATCTGCTATGACGTAGACAATAATCACTGCTTCAAAAACATAAAAAAAACTTTTAATATCTGTATTTTACAGACTTGCTAACTGGGTCAGTTAGTAAATTTTTTTGTGCTTGTGGATTATTTTAGGTGAGTTCCTTGACCATTACTTAATGGGTGAAGATTTTCAAGGGTTGGCCCTCATAGATACACCCCTGTTTTATAATTTTCAGTCTTTCCTGCCCCCCTCACTAACACTTACCACGTGCTTGCTAGTAACTGACTTCTACAGGTAATCTCCGGAGTGAAGCTAAATTGTATTGCGTGTGAGTCTGTTACCCACCAAAGGCAATAAATGATTGTGCACCGTTGTAGACTGATTGAAGTTACACATTAACACTTCGATTCTGGCTCAGTAGTCTAAGAGTTGGGCGTTTACGCACCCAATCTTGGATGTTCCTTACCGCGTTTCGTACCGAAACGACCGTCCAGTGCTTTCACGTTCTTAATGATGGTTTGAATTCGATCAGTTCATGATGTAAGTGAAACTTCAATTCTTTGTACGTTTACAATCTTCAGTAAAATCGATCTCATCTAATTCTCTGGTATATCTTTATGTTTTTAATATTTTATTTTTAAAAAACCATTGGTGCAAAGATGCACCTAAATACTTATGCACTGTTTGTGAGCGGGCCGAGATACTACCTGGACTCCCAAATTGAAGTGAATGTTTTTATTAGGAAGCCACACCTCAAACCTTCAACCCAAAAGTCCAATCCTCTACTCAGTGAAGCAACGTTAGAAGATACTGTCCTATAGTGACCAGTGACCAACAATAGGTTCACTCGCCATTCCGTCAGGACCCTGAAGCCCATGTGCAGCACTAGTTTAGAATGAGAGTTTCCCAACTCCCTTAGATGCCTCGTACTCACTAATCCATTTAAAGCACCGGACAATTTTTCGTCCTCTTAATTTCTTAGATAATATCTGTGCTACGAAAAAGCTATAAGCAAGACTTCCTTGACAGTATCTGTATAACTATGGCCATGTAAGAGCATTTAGAGAAAGAGCTCTCGGTTGTACTAGGGCATTAGGGGACAGTTTCTTATCTGATTTGCAAGCAAAATACAAGTTTTTTAGATAGTTACAGATTTTTATTTGTTATACAACCGTTTATTAATGTGCCCTCACTTTAAAGTTGGTCAGATGAGTGCTTGACACAAACATCGTGGCATGAAACGCTACATTATCCTACCTCATCACAAAATTTTAAAGGTGCTGTCACTACAAATATCAGCGTTCAAATGTTGTGTGTATGTAGAATTTTAGGGTAAATTATAAAAGAAAGTGAATTGTTTTGTAAGACTGATGTTTGTGTAGTAATTTTGTATGTCTGTCTAAAGGACTATAATTGGACTTGAAATCGTATTTTTTCATGCTTGGTCCCCATTACAAACAAACTCGTTTTTCAATAAATTTCAACTCAATATTGAGGTGTTTATATTCAGAATTTCTATTATTTCCCAGGGAATTCGTGGATTTTATAGAGGCTATTTCAGCACATTATCGCGAGAAATTCCATTCTCATTCATTCAGTATCCCATATGGGAAAAATTAAGGGTAAGTATGCCTTTACAGTAAACCACCTTGTTCAGTCCGATAATTATAAGCGTGGTTCATGTCAGTCTTTTATCTAATATACATTTTTATTATGTTATTAAATCCATTACCAACAATTAGTCCGTGAACTGTGACTATGATTTGTTCAGCATAGTTTTGAAAGGTTGCTGGTATCGTTATCCCTTTCGTAACAGGTGTGACCCAGGCTTCCATTCATAAACCGATAACCACATATATCAAGAATTAGTCATAGCGGTCAGTCAGTCATCTACAACGTAAAACTTCGTACGTACGTACATCACTTCAAGTTGCCATATCACATTAGAGTAGTGATTGAATTGTCAATTCAAATCCCATGGTAGTAGATGTAGTAGAAGTATTAGAGGAAATAGAAAATATTAGGGTTCGAAGAAATTATTGAAAAAGCATAATCCAATGGAATAAAATTATAGCAGTCAGGGATTCTTATCTTTAAACTATGATCTAGTACTTGATATCTGTTCACCAATCTAGGCTTACAACATAAGAAATGAATTAGGATTAATTAACCACTTTATTTGAATACGTTTTAAAAGGCTAGCAGTCGAAAAGCTCCTCTAATGTGTTAATCTAGCACACCTTTTTCATCAAAAGGGCTCGTAAAATAGCTTATTGACTTACCTATTATGATATGCTTCATCTGCATGTTATTAATTATGGATCAATCTGTTGCACTAAATATATATATATATATATATATATATATATATATATATATATATATATATATATTATCGATTAATCTAGTCTTCGTTTTGAGCTGTATTTGTCTGTTAGTTTTTTATGAAAATAGAGTAACTGCGCTGAAGGTAGTGTATAGAAGGCTCGATCCCACACTCAGTCCCTAGTAAGTAACAACTGATCAGAAGAGCCAGTCAACCTTTCATCACATCCAACCCTTGAATTATGAATAGAAACAACGTGGATTATAAAATGATAGTGTGCCAAACTTCGCATTAAACCCGCTGCATCCAGATTTCTGTGAAGAAATGACTATACGATAGATGTGTACGCTTTATTTTGTCATATGACTGTGGAATTGTTGTTAGTAGTTAGATGGGTTAAAATTTCTGACTAACCAGTAGGATAGATGATATTAAAATGGTTAGTTAAGTACGTGATACCGATCTATTAATTATATGATTATTGTTCAAATATGGTTTAAAATTTGTCGGCTTCCTGGTTATGCTACTGAAACTACTCCAAAACTTGTTTGGAAACACTGTGTATTACAATTCAAATCCTGTTTTTATAGTATAAATAGATTAAATCGTATTTTATATGAATTTTAAATGCCTAGATACTAGGTATTTTGCTAACACTTCAATCATATCACCAACGTAATTCTCTTTAGTGTTTTTTCCCTTATGATTTCTAATCATGTGTGATTAAAGTGACTTAGTCAGCTTTCGTTTATATACTTCCTCAAGTTATTCCGCCTAACTCATTATTTTTAGTATATGACTATTGAATGGAATCGAAAGTCACTCGAGAACAATGCCAATATAGACTCAGAGGCCTTTCAGTTAAGAGCTTGGCAGTCAGCTATGTGTGGATGTTTAGCGGGCACAATAGCTGGTGCATTAACCACACCTTTAGATGTGGCCAAAACGCGAATCATGTTGGCTGAGGTCAGTTGTACTATCATCTGTTATTTTGAGAAAAATATTCTGTCAATATAAATATGTTATAACTATATGTCTTTCAGGTGTGTTCACTTTGGTTGTGTCTAAATAACAGAATTCAAGATAAAATAATGTAAATTAGTAGATGAATAAATGGAGTTTTAGTAATTTATACAACTCAATGTGTAGATAGATAATGCAGATGAATTCCGTGGAATAAACTGCTTTCATCCAGTCAGTCAACAGCAACGTAGAACTTGGTACGTACGTACATACGTACATCAATTCAGGTTCCCATACCACATTAACATGGAAATGAAATCGTCAGTTCAAATCCTAGAGTAGTGGAGGTAGTAACAGTATTATTGATAATGAAAAAGATTAAGGATTGAAGATACCATTCGAGAAAATATAAACCAGTAAAACAATGGTACACCTGCGCCATCGCAAACAATTTTGAGCCATGTCATTCAAAGTCTAATTATCACACGAACTCCAACTAGATAATCTTTCAGTAGACAGAATGCGTTCTAGTTTGATCTCTTAATCTCAATGTTTAGTGCTAGTTTTACACCACTTAGATTTCATCTGAAATATTTAATAACTTATTAACCATAGATCAGGTTATTAACCACATATATTACTCAAGGACCAATTATACAATTAGGTAACCCCTAGTAATCAGCCGTTTAAGAGTTTGATGCTTTTACCAAAAGTGCAGCTCTAGAATGATTGTTATGAATTGCTGCCGTTGTACCTGTTTCACTCGTTAAAGTTTAGGTTTAGACTTTAAATTGATGCTATCAACATATTTACTACTCTGTAGTTAATTTAGATTATTTTTTAAAGTATAAATTCAAGTGATCTTTGAATTCTACTGCGTCCATTGTTTAACTCTCTTTTATAATTAATTGTAGCCCAATTCTAATTTTGCATCTGGTCATATAGTATACGCTATACGAACAATATTTCAAGAGAGCGGAATTCGTGGGTAGGTTTTCTTTCTTCTTCTTAGTTAAGTCACAATTGTAGTTTATTTTATTCGATTCACAACGGATTAAATCTGTCTATAACCACGTTTAAAGTTGAATCTAAGCTAGTGATAGTCTGGTCATGGAAGTTCATTATTAAGAAAAAAGGTAACAACTGTACAACTTATTCGGTTATATAGCTATTATGAAACAATAGTAACGGATTATATCATTTTTAAAATTATCAATACTACTAGGCAACTGGTTTGAGGAATGTTAGGTAGGAATGACTAAGAAACTACTCGTTAATGTGGGGGCAGGTTTAAATCATAAATTTAAACCATAGTTGCTTTAATGCCATCCATTCCATCATTGAAAGCTGATACTGCTCTTGATTTAGTTCATTCCAACGTATAGTTGAAAGTAATAGTTCAAATGTTTGAATGCTTTTGACTTACCTATTAATGAAAAAATATCCCTATTAAGTTATGTTGTCTTTTCACGAAGTTATATGGTGTAATCGGATCATTAAGTGTGCATCCTATATTCTTTAGCTTACAATAAGTATCGTATTATTTATCTGCATTCATCATTCATCTCACCAAACGGTGGTGATTTACCTTAACTTCTATCTTTACGAATGTACTATTGCTAATCAATAATTTTCATAATATTTATACATGTACCAAATACTCGGTTAAAACTCTTGATTCATCTTCAGCTTAGTCGTAACTAATACAAACAAATAGGTGATGACTATTGGTCATCATTGATGTAAACCACTGTGTCATTTAGTCCTAAGAAGTGGTTAGGTTGTTTAAGTGACAGTATTACACTAAACAAACTGTCCAACCCAAACTGATATATATATATATATATATATATATATATATATATATATATTGCAAATAATAAGTACATTAAAGTGGATGAGTCTTTTATTTCAGCATCTTTTCACCCCCTACGTATCACTCCTTACTAAACTTCAAAAACTGAAGGAACAACATTTACTTGTTTTCCTTTCAAAATATAATGCTGTATGAGATTATGCTTATTTTTTATGTTGGATATAAAATTACCTATCTAATCCGTTTAATAATTGCATTGGTTAATTTTTACTTCAGGCTTTTCTCAGGTTTAATACCTCGGATCACATTATTATCGATTGGTGGAGCCATATTTCTTGGTATTTATGATATATCTACCAGATTCTGGACTTCATCGCTTCAAAATACTAGAAATTAATGTAACCACATAGATTATTTTTATGAATATAGTATTACTGCTTTGTGCCTTATGTTCTCAGTTGAACTATGATGGCTATCGTTCTTATCATTGTATATTGTACCTGTTGAGTTGGTTCTAAGAAATTTGGTCTTGTACTTTGTAAGGTTGAAATTGTCCATACTTTACATATTTCACATATTATTTTTAATCCCTTCGACACATGAAGATGTTAATCTTCAGTTTGTACTTTCCGAGCGTTTTAGCTAAACACATTGCATTTTTTGTTGCGGCAATCTAACAAACAAACAAAAGTTTCATTCTTTCAATCAGAAAATTTGAGGTAGTGTTTCAACCAAACCTTCCCTTAATACATAATTCACTATAGTCTAACTTCCTATTAACGAAAACTGATGTTTCTCAAACAAGGCTCCCAAAAAATAATCGCCATCCAAAAACGTCAAAAAGCACTACGTGCTTATCTGCACCAAACTATCCAGATCCAAATAAATCGTTGAATGACACTGTACTTGTTACTAATAAGTATTTTGACTATTTCAGCATCAACATTTAAATTTAATCATAGTTGTTCGTCATTCTTCATTACGATATCAAATTTAATTGTTTGCGTCATATTCATATGTTCATCTACCTAGCTATCTACATAAATCACAAGAGTAGTTCGTTTTAAAGTGCATACATATAAGATATTGTTTAGGTCATCTGAAATATTATCACATTTTTTTTCAGAAAACAATAACATTTCAAGTTTCAATAACTTCATGATAACCAACCTAGATTGGTTAACTTCCTGGTTGACATTTCAAAGATGTATGTTCATGTGACAAGTCGATATTGTTTATATACTGAATAGATTAGTGATGTTTGAACAATACTTTGTGCTTATTTTCTAGGGATTTTTCTGTATTATCGATTGTTTTATCGCATTACATCTACGTATGATATGATAGTAATCAGCATTATCTTGTATTTTTGTTCACCTAACATATAGTGTTACGATTAATAAATATTGTCATTATTCGTATCTTATCGACTGTTGGTTATACAAACCACAACCGTGCAAGGTAAATGTAAGCAATGATTGAATATCATTAGTAACATACATAACCAACCGAAACTGCCACCTTATCGTGGTTGTCGGGCTTGCCTGTTGTGATGACCCAACGGAGCTATATTGGTTGAAACATTTGTTCCTGTAGATCCTATCATGCCAGACACGTCGATTGGAGAACAATGAGACTAGAAGCAGCTACTCATTGTCTGGTGGCGAAGTTGTACTGCTGACGGTAGAGGGGTGTAACAGAAGTAAGGTGGTTCCCACGGACAACCAGCATCTGCGGCGATGCTGCCTTCTCACAAGGAAGGAAGGGTTAGAAAAGGTCGACCCTAAAAATGTCACACCTCATCTCACAGATTTCCGTCTTCGGCGGTAAGGCCGTTTGAAGAGCGGAGCTAATACTTTACAAAATTCCCATAAAAAAGCCGTGCGTGACCGGCCTCAAGCAGTTGTCCCATCAATCAATCAATAGCAACGTAAAACTACGTACGTACGTACATCAGTTCATGTTGCCATACCACATTAGCACAGAAATGTAATTGTCAATTCAAATCCAATAGTAGTAGAGGTAGTAGTAATCAGAGAGGTTAGGATTAGAAGATATTATTCAAGAAGTAGGATCTTGTGAAAAAGATGAAAATAAAGTGATGAAGAATTAAAGTTTGGGATTTGAGAGAACACAAAGAATAAATGCGCCTGAGCCATTGCAAACGGTTTTGAGCCATGTCATTCAGGGTATCTAACCATTGTTTACTATCTTCTCGCGGACCCCAACCAGGTAGTCGATACGTACAGACATGGCTAAGTCCACTCGTCAATGACTTCATGGATTTCTGCCATGTTTTGGTCTGGCCGCCCCTAGCTTTCGTCCAACCTATTCCTACACCGCAAAATATAGCTCGTCGGTGGTTAGGCATACGCAGCACATGTGCCAACCACCTCAACTTCATCTATTGATCTGCTGTTCTTACCTAGCACCCGATTCCTAATAACAGCGTTGCTCACTCGGGTGTCCCAGGATATACGAGCTATGCTTCGAAGACACCTATGATCGAAAACCAGTAACCTACGAATATCTTCCAGTCTCACTGGCCATGTTTCACAGCCATAAAGTAAGACGGAGCGAACTACTGCGCAGTACACTCGTCCTTTAGTCAGAAAACGGATATCTCGCCTACGCCATAAGTGACGCAGATTGGCAACAGCCAATCGATCCTTCTGTATCCGTGCTGACATTTTGTTAGTCACCAGGCCATCGGCACTGATGAGACTCCTCAGATAAGTGAAGCGGTTTACACGCTAAACTTTTTCACTCCCTATCACTAGTTCAGGTGCCAGTGCGACCCAGTCTTGAATAAACATTTTGCATTTTGAGGGTGAGAACCACATCCCGAACATGCTTGCATTGTTGCTCACGGTGGTCAGCGTCTTCACTGAATAGGACAATATCATTGGCATATTCTAAGTCAGCAAGCGTGTCTCCTGGTAGAAGGTTCACTCCTGAAAATTCAGGCTAAGATAATGTTAACTCTAAAAGCATGTGTACGAGAAAGTTGAACAAGAATGGAGAAAGTGGACTTCCATGACGCTCAATACTTGAAGTTATCAATTCCGATGACAGTCCGCCATAAGCTCTAAATCGACCAGGTTGATGTACTTCTTCGGTACACCTTTCAATGACAGACACTGCCACAGAACCTCACAATCAACAGAGTTAAATGTCGAGAAATACTACTAATGTTGGGCGTCTGAACGAATGTGTATGTACTAGGACCTGACGTAGTGAATATCTGGTCTATGCATCCACGTCCAGGTCTGAAACCAGTCTGGTTTTCGCTAGTCTGCTCTTCATGAGCTCTGGTCAGGCGATAGAGTATTATTGAGGCCAATATTTGCGATACTATATTAGTTAGACTGATTCCTTTGTGATTGTGATAAGAGAACTTTTGTCCTTTGTTATAGACTGGGGTAATCAGTGATTGAGAACATTCATATGGGATTATGCCCAGTTCCTAGATTCTACCCAAAGTCTCAGTCAATCTCACTGTTAAAACTGGACCACAATCCCTGAAAATCTCAGGGGTAAGCATTTTAAGCCCTGCTGCCCTACCTCGCTTCAGATTTCCTATAGCTTTTTCAACTTAATAAAGAGTTGAAGGACTTACGTCGATTTGCTATTCAGGTTGACTGGAGATCGTAGGCAATAGAAGTGTGGCTAAAGGCCAATTGAAATTATCCCTAAAGTGTTCTGCCCATCGATCCAATCTCCTGAATTGAAAATGAATTATACGACCATCTTTTTCCGAAACAGTTTCATGTACATTCAGGTCCTAAATATCGGTTTCCCTGATAATTCTGAATAGTTGCCTATCGCCGCTGCCTTTTCCAGCTCTCTCACTTTCGCTACCCACCACTGTTCGTGATCATCGCTTGGGCTTTTTATCAGCCTGCGCTTAAGCTGACTTCGCTTGTTGTCATGTTCAGAGCCGGATGGGTTGAGTTTGTTAGCGCCTATCAGTTCGGTAGATGCTACTGAGATCCACGGCTTCTTCACCTTATGGTTTACCTTACTCCAACATAATGCTTGGAACGGGGTTTCAGGAGACCAAGACTACCGTTTTGCGGACTCGAATAGTTTGTATTAGCGGTGCAGGGTGAGAAGGGCTAGTTGTGGAGATACAAGGATGTCAGGGGGTGTAGGAAGGATTTGATTGTAACCAGTTTGGTCTTGTTTGTTGTTACGGATATGGGGGCGGATGTCACGTCCCGGCTGCCCACATTGTGGAAGGGTACTTCATGAGGTACCTGGAAAGGTATGTTAGCGTTGGTCTTAGAGAGCTAGGAGAGTGACCACAGAGTCCATGGGCCAACTGCTTGAGGCCGGTCTCACAGCCATTTTATGAGAATTTTGTAAAGCATTAGCTCCGCTCTTCAAACGGCCTTACCCCCGGAGACGGAAATCCGTGAGGTAAGGTGATGTGTGACATTTTTAGGGTCGACCTTTTCTAAAACCCTTCTACAGTTGGCAGTACGGCTTTGCCCTCAGACCTTGAGTGGCTGCTCTTAGTCTCATTGTTCTTCAATCGACCTGCCTGGTATGGTAGAACCTTCAGGAACATATGTTCCCGCCAATATAGCTCGGTCGGGTTGTCACGATAGGCAAACCCGACCACCACGTCAAGGTAGTAACCACTTTCGGGGTTCCTATATACTACTCATCTCAGTAACAATAAAGTTTATCATCACTTAATCCAGTGGTACTTTGTATGAGAAATCACAAATAATTCCTAAGGATTAACAACCTATAATGTACTTATATTCAGTACCAACCTAGTTCTGCTGGTAATATTTTGTAACATTATTAGTAATCGAAATGGCGAAATCTCGGTCCTTTGTGTCTGGTCATTACGAATGATATATTGTATATCCAGGACCTAGATTTCGCCTTTATGTGCAACATTGAAGAACGAAATATACTTACGAAAATGTAAAGTCGGAATCCCTAGAGTTGGTACTTCTGGCACTTTCAGTAGACTAGTTTAAATCCTAGTGAGTTGTTCAAGTTATGAATGAATTCTTCGAATGAGTGCATGGAAATAACGAACTTTTAACTAAGATTTCCTCTCAATTATTCCCAACCATTCATAATCAGTTTATATCCTCACTAGATTAGTTAAAAATATTACGCAGGCTTGAAATAACAATTGACACATACTTATGTTTGAAACTAAACTATAGCCCAGATAGGCATTAATCATGTATTGTCTCGCATAATAATAATAATAATAATAATAATAAACATTTAATTTTTTTTTAATTGCCTAATCACCGGATCTATAACCATCAGTATCTCTACACGAACTAAGTTAGAATCATATGCACTATTCATGTGACTTACTTTTGTAAACTATGTTTATTTATTTACTATTTGCTGGTTAGAACAGAACTCTCATATACAACTAATTAAACATCTAATAACCACGAAAATCGTCAATGCACCGTAAAAACTTTTTGAACAGAAAAATGCTAGATATTGCACACATTGAACATTATGAAATAAATACACTTCAAATTCACGAACATGTATCCTATCCTGTTTCGTTATTTATTAAGTAGTCTATGAAACCATATCATGTTTCAGAAGTAGGATAAAATGATAATTTATCACATTGTTGGGTATAATCCGAAATTTGTTACTTTTATGCGTAACAAAAGCGTTGCTACTTTTTTTATCCAGTCGGAGTCGTAATTGTTTGTTCTATCTAAAATCAACGATGAGACTGTATGATTTTAGTTCACACATTGATTTACTGGATTTTTAGAATTTATTGTCTTTCAAAAATGATCGAACGAATAAAACGCTTCAACTTTATATTCAGTAATATATATATTCAATTGTTTGGACAAATAATCTTAAGCTCCGAAATGTTCAATGATTATTGAATAAAGAGCTTATACGGACATCTTATGGTTATTATTCACACAACTACGTTGTGAATCTTATGGAACGTGTCAGTAAAAAAATATTATAAACTCATGAATTCTCATCATTCCATTATTCACCGATCTGTTCTACGTCAAGAAAGATTTAGTAGACTATTTGTCTATGAGTTTTTTACTTTTATGTACTTGTAATTATTTTGAATATGTTATGGGACTTTCTAGATGTGTCTTATAGTTCCTTGTAATATCATACCTTTTTGTTCATTATCCTTTTTAATTTATAATATTAAAAATCTTTCCTAGTCTGACGTTTTTGCTTTGTACTAGTATTGGATTAGCTCAATATTCAACAAATCACTATCGCAAAACGAAGTCTTATCAATTATTCTAATATCATGGCCTCTCTTTCGTTTTATAGTATGCTGGTTATTTGCAACATTGCACATCTTGAAAATAATACACACACTGTCTGCTTTCATATCTATGTGGAGCATTTATATGTAAATACAGACTTGACTTGAAACCATTTCACTAGCTTTCAAAAATACTCATCAATTATACATATTATAAATATTTGTACACAGTATATGTTTTTTTAATTTTTTTCGGGTCAGTAAATAAGTATCTGGACGAAATTCAAGTTTACTGACGCGATCTTAGTATTCTTCCGGTGAAGAAATTCAGTCGACAATTCTCGTATTTTGAGCGTTAACCTAGGAAAAAAAAATAAAAAAACGTGAACAGTTCGTAGTAGTTTTTCCACGATGGGCTGGTTTTGCTTTTGGTTTAGATTTAGATTATAAGGATATATAAATTGAGCTACTTTCCTTTAGACGTAATAGTCAACATGCCTCATTACTTGGAGAAGCATATTTGGAAATATAATCGGAAATCATGAGTTCCAGCCACAAGCTTATCCGTAAGGTCGTTGTAAATTCACGGATTTTTTGGTGTAGTTTTGATCAGTCTCTCAAGGCCGTTGGTACTGTGTAGTTCTACCATCGATATCAATGACTTTGCTACTAAATGTACTACAATATCAAGTATACGTTCAAACGTTTACGAGTATTCTGTTAAATGTGTCAAACCTATATTATTAAATAAGTCTATATATCCTTGATAACACTTCACATTGCTGTTCAGCAATAATTAGGAAACACGGGGTCGTATCAATAGTTTACTTAAAATCTTTCACACTAAACTATCAAAACAATTATTAACGATTTATGGTAAAAACGTATATGATACTTCAAACCCGATCTTCTCTGTTGATAAATTTACACAATTTATTGGATTCATATATTGCATGTCTACATTAAAAACTGAAAAATCAAACGAAATTATTGACAGAACATGTGGATGCTATTTCATTTAGTTATTAGTCAACCGATTTGCGCTATGATTTAAAAAGTAAATAACTATTAACATGATTCATAACGCCAGTTTTTCATATTTGATTGGGTTGGATAAATCAATGAATCAGGAAGTACTGACAAACAATGTAATCTATTGATTGATAAAAGCCTATGAATAGCTTTTAAGATGTTTCATGTGTTTCCACAATTCAACTGATTATTATAATTAGAAAATTAATTATTCTAACTAATTGGCCAACTAAAATTTTCAGTAGGCGTTAATTCTTAACGTTTATACTATGATATGTATAATATATTACCTCTTTTTTTTAAAAAAAAAAGTTCATATTATATCGATACAATGAAAAGTACTTTGCTTGTTTAGACACGTTATTAAAAAAATGAATATTCAAGTATATTTCAAATAAGCCGTTACACACTCACAAAAACATAGTCTGACGAAGTATATTCGACGACTCATTATTTACTTGCTTACATATTTGTTACAATATTCTCATTTTTAATGAAATCTCCTTTGGATAAGACAGCAGAAATTATTTACTGTATGAATCCGATTTACACTTATTTACCAAGTATCACATTGATATAACTGTGTGGTCACTTTTGTGAAACTTAACTATATTATCATTTCTCAATGTAAAGCATATGAACAGACCAACAAGATTTAATTCAATAATGTAGTCTGCAAATTTTAAGCTCATAGAATCGATTTCCACAGCGATTTGAAATCATTTGACTACAGTATAATTTATGGATCATTTATTTTGGTACTGAAGCAACTAATCGTCGTTTCCAGATGAAACTAATAGTCTTGTAGGCTGACAGCGCTTTGATTAAACTTTTTAAATATGCAAGAAATATTGATTAAGTCCTGTGCGTCATTTTCATATCCAAAGTATTACATTCCTTGCATCTCTTTGCATTGATGAAACAAGCGTTAGAATTCAGATCTTAAATTGAATATGCAAATTTAGAATTAATTTTACGTACTTGCTAATTAACAAAAAATTCTCTGATTATTATGCACTTGTGAGAAAATACACAGTTATACTCTCTCTTTACGTTGATAAAAATTGACGTAGTTCTGATATTTGATTGTATGATAATCTTATTATTAGAATTTACTTTTCAATATTTAAAACTTTTTTTTTCTTAAAACAACATACAGACCTAGTATCTGTCTTTGTATTAGCTGTTTAATAAGCGCATTAATCAACCTTTTTGTTAACAAGGACGCGATTGTTATTGTATCTAAGTAAATGTTCTTTCTTGTAGTTAATTAGTAAACGAAACATTTTCGTACGTGAATTTAATGCCATCTTGCCATTTCTGTCATTCTAAATTCCACAGTTAAGCTTGGAATACATGAAAAGTACATTGTCTAGTAGTAAATATACCTTTTTTTCTTACTTTCGATCGAAAAACTTCTATTAAAAGTAAAATTCTTATTAATGAAAGACGACAAATCATTTTTTAATCCATTGTAGAAATTTTACAAATAACATTTATGAAATGTATATTCCATGGTTTAGAAACAAAGTAAGCAAACCAGAAAAAAATCACCTACAATATACTGAAATGAAACTAAAGTCACCTATATCGGAATCATCATAGGAATTTGACATAATATCTATCTATGCATTTACTAGACATAACAAAGTCAAACTATTTGCCGGGAAAGTTTATGCATCAAAACACAAACAGTCTGACCTTTGCCGGTATAAATACCTTATTTCTGAACAAAACAACACAACCAATCACAGATAAAATATGTTCAACACATATTGTTTTTTTTTATAAATTCCAACCAATCAAATATTAGATATTGGTTTCAGTTATTTCTAAATCATAAAAAGAACACGTGTTGTTTAGGTCTTGTGTTGTTAGCTCACAGGCAAATTAGTTTTTAATGTAAAACTTACATTAAAATAACAACAACAACAACTAGATACACACTATTTATTCATAATTATTCACACAGAAAATGCATTGAAAAATTTGTTATTTATAAGAGATAAATTTTATGGATGTATTTTTTATTCATAATGCTCAGGTCCATTAAAAAACAATTCAGGATATATCTTTGTATTTCATATTTATCTACAGTCATTATATGGATGTTTATTAATGTTTGGCTGTTCACTAACAATCTAGTCTATTCTATACCTTATAATTTTGGTCAATCTTTACAAATTCATGAAGCAGCGGTAAGTTATGTTTACTACTTCAATAATTTTATTCCATTATACTATTTTTTTTTTGATTCCTAATTTAAATTATTTTTTATGTCTATTGACATAGGCATGCTTTTTATACAGTTTATCTAATAGTTTACAAGATACTTTACCTAATAATATACAATGTAATAATTTAAAAATTATTCAAGTCAACGTAGGGTATATTGATATAGAAAGAAAAACCTATTGATTTTCTTCACACATAAAAATGGATTCAATGCGTTTTTTTTTTTAAATGTTTCTGATTTTACTAAACTTGAGTTCCGATTAAGTTAAACAATGTTCAATACAACTTACAAACATCGTTTCACATATTCAGTCAGTAATTAAGTATTTATGTAGACAAGATGAATAATTTTAACCTTTTAAAGTGAATACATGATTTAGAGAAATAGGTTGGAGTAAAACACTATATTAGAAAAATTCATTTCTAATATTTACTTATACCATGAACTTTGAATTTTCACTGGAATTTTAATTGTACACAGTTTATCTCATTGTAACTGTTCCGATTCATTGTATGACTCATAACAATTTTATCCACCCAAAATTGTCTGATAAATACAATGTTCAAATATTGAAAAAACTGTAAGCATAGAAATTTGCAGCGTATAATTTAAATATTTTAAAAATATATATGAAATATTTGAAGCTTATATTACTAGTCATGCTTCACAGACATCTTTTTTCGTGTTTTTGATTATAATAATTAATATGGACAGAGTGTAATGAAAGAATTTAATAGGACAATTTGTTTAATTCATCTTTCGATGATATTATCTTAATATAACCTAATTAGCTAAGTGTGAAGTTATCATTAAGATTTAAGCACATCGAGCTGATGAGGTTCAGATGAAACGAAACACCTATTCTGCATTTCATCAGCAGTTACACTTCATTTAACTGAAATGTTTATTTGTAGAGTTTCATCTAATGGTCAGTTAAACACATACAAGCATACAGTTATATATACATCTATATATATTTGATTTTAAGCTATTTCAAGGAGTACTGGCATTTGCAGGGTCTGTTGATGTATACTGAATAAAACTGTAAAATCCTTGTCAAATATTTATGGTATAATATTCAGTCAGTCAGATGCAATGTAGAACTTGGTACATAAGTACATCAGTTCATGTTGCCATACCGCATCAGCACAGAGATATAATTGTCAATTCAAATCCAATAGTAGTAGAGGTAGTAAGCGAATTAGAAGTAATCGGAGAGGTTAGGGTTAGAAGATACTATTCAAGAAGTATGATTCAGTGAGAAAAGTTTAGAGAGTCGAAACTAGAGGTGTTGAAGAATCCAGAAGCTTAGGGTTTGAGAGGACACAAAGAATAAATGGTATAATATTAATAGTCGATCAATTAAAAATTTACTCTTCATTTCTATATAACATGACATTAGCCGTTGTACATAAAGTATCTTACTTAAATTCTTTGTTTATTTATCTATCATCTATGTATATAGGCTGTATTAAACTACTATTAAGTAGTTTGCATTTATTGTCGACATTTATATGCACGATTAGTTAAGTGTAAATTATAACAAGCTAGTATATTCAGAGGGATTTGTTTTTAACGTTTTTTTTTATAATCGAGTAATAGGCTACTTCAAAGTAACACATGATATTTAAGTCAAGAAAGTACAAGTCTCTAGACATTCTTTATATTTTCAAACTATTGAGTTGAATTCTAACAATCTACATTTCCAACTCAAGCTGATTCTTCATTGTTTTACACATCACTTTAGAAAACCATGTTACGTAATGTTTGGATATGCATTGATTACATATTCAAATGTGTGAAGTAAGCGAAAAGCATGACTAATTATAAATTAACTAAGTGTATTCAATATCTCACTAGATACAAACTGTCACAAACAGAATACAGTTATCCTATGAGTTTATATTTTTGATTACACCGTATTTGAAATTCTTTAAAGCAATCTATAGATTATACTATTTATTCCTAATAAAATTCCAGAAACTCTGGTTGATTCAATCAGATAAATTGACATAAGATATAGCAGAATTGAGTTCAGAACATGAAACACTTGCATTACAGATAGTTTATCATGAATTTCATGTCTCGATTCACAAGAATCATTATTATTATTATCATTTCCGTTGAGGTATTACCATTATCCTTTTCTGAATTAGTCTAGTTTTCTTCCAGAAAAAAGGAAATAGGAAATTAAAAGGTGCTTTCCTTAAATGATTGATATTTACATGACTAATTGTTAATAAAGATTATTATTTACGTAATATTAGAGATATGGTCTAAAGAAAACTACGTTTGTTATTTTTTTTAAAAACTATCTAAAATTAAGTGAATACAGAGAGAACTTGTTGTTATATTCCAATCTACCCTTATTTCACAAAATACAGTGTTTGCTTGAATTCTTTTCTGTATAAATATTGACAATTAAATCATATTTGATAAAGGCCAAATCTGATTGGATTAGCAATTATTCTGAGTCATCATTTTATCAACTATCAATATTTTAGACTTGTTTCAGTGTACTCTTGTTTATTTACATGTGTTACTATAGTAACTGGCTTGCTTCTTTCTTTATCCCACTTTTTTTCAATTCTCTTAAGCACTTTAATATTTAAATCAAACCGAAAACTATTGGAATGATTTAAACAAGTCGATACAAATACCTTTGTTACTTAATAGATAAACTATATTTCATTTTTCATTAGGGAAAAAATTACTTCGTTGAAATCAATAGATGGAGTTAACTAGTTCATTCATCGTTTACACATTATGATATGTTTTCTTGAAAATAAAATTGGAATTTTAGAGAGAAAAAACATTATTCTATATATAGTTGCAGTTAATTAGTTAACCTACTTCATTTGTTTTTAGTTATATATATATACATACTGTACTGTACAGCACAACTAGTTAATTGAATGGCACAACAAAAATCCTTATTGCATTATGAAAGTAATTTTGCTGAATTGTTTAAATCCGCATTACTTTTCAGTTTTTTATTTCACTTAATAATGATAATTACTTGTTCATTTCAACATTTAGAGATAAATATGAAATTTCGAATTGTCTTCGTAAAAATCTCTGGATAGTTATTTAATGCGTCAAAATTCGGGTTGCTTGTAATGTACTACTTATTTTAAATAAGTACAACATATTTTTTGGTTGAATTAAAATGCTCTATATGGTCATGAAAATTCAATAGGTGATAATCGGCTTGTTATCTAGAACCAATGGGTATCTAGACCGAAGTCACTAGCACCCATCATCATCATAAGAGTGAAAATTCGAAATCTTGAATATAAGATCGTAAACAATATTATGCTCAACATTCAGTGGACATAATTAATAATGGTTTCGTGAAATCACTAGCACAGTTTCCTAACTATTTATAGTTAGTAGTTTTTGTAGTTGATAAATTATCAAGACATGATTATTTCGATATAACGTTTATCTTTTATTTAAAATTCAAACGTTTACTGATATGAAAGATCAATGTTTCGGTATTTCCGCAATCCCCTAATGTCCAAAAGTTTAACATATAAGATCGTAAATAAATTTGAAAAACTTGATGTTTTGAACTCCAAATGGAATACTTAGTAATTCTATTTGTTGACTGAAGAGTATCAGTATTTTTTTGTCCAGAAGTAATTGAATTAGTACGTAACTGACTTAGTTACATAATCGTTCAGTACTTCCAGATTTTAAATGGTTGTTTAACTTAGGTCGGTTCTTAGTTTCAAAACATATTTCATACTGATAGAGGCATTTTACATGAAATAAAATATACTTGTTATATGTAATTCCGTTTGAAAAATTAGATCGACTTCAGTTTGTTTGTGTGTATTGATTGCCGATTGACCTGAGCGACAAGTTACTCGAAATTCGTCGGTGTTCTTAGTAGGCCCTCTATCCAAGTTTTTAACGTTTTCAAGTCGAATGTATATCCTCACTTGTCCGCATGTATTGATATAAGGGGAGATATTTCATAGTGTTTGACAGCAATGTTCATTTAGGCAAAGCTGAAGAGAATCTCCACTTGATCAATGTAGTGTTTTTCTCAGTCTGAACAATATATTCAGTTGATGATGGTGGGTTTTTCTGAATTTGACATTTTGTCCCCTGGTTTACAAGGAACTGATTCAAGTGTTTTTGTTGGCTTGTTCTACACCTATCGCGAACGGCTTCAATTATCTTGTTGCGATTGCCAATATTGAACATAAACCAACAAAACCACTCCAATCAATAAGTATCAGTAGGTAAAAAAGCTGGGCTTAAGGCATTTTGCTGGTCACCTTCCATTAAAACATCTCATAAAGTCCACATTAATATTGAGTTTATCGTAAAAATTATCACTTCTCGGTCCTAATCAGAAACCTTTACTTGTTACGAGGAAAAAATTCTCAAAAATCGGATTTCTAAATCTTCTAAAATTCTCACTAGTAAAAAGATTTTGAAATCTCAATACTAGAGCGATTTCAAATAGCTTTATTCCGGAAGGAACAGCTTTGTCAAATGGAACTGTCAGCCAAGCCAAACCAAGTAGAAATTTTACGCAGTAATTGCTGCGTAAAAAATAAATTGGTTTTTGTTAGTGACAAATGAACAAGCACCGACTTAGTTCCATCAATAATCTGAGCATTTTGTATAAAAAGCTAACAACCTAAAGTTATCAAACTGACTATACCGGGCCATTTTACCGACTTAATCTACTAACTGTTAAGTAGATTTATTATCTTCGTTAGTAAGTTGCTACTGTACGTATTTTACAGTACAGACACTATTCGGATAAGTTGTGTATTTATTTATCCTAGTTTAATTCTCAATTAGATTCAAGACACTTGTGCACATTTCACGATGTAAAAAAGCAATCTGTCTCAAGACTAGTTCTCTTTTTCTGATCTTATTGGAACTAAACCAGGCAGAAATAATTTGTTACTTTTTGTCAAATAACTTTAAATTATTCAT